TTCTAGACCTCGACTAACGAAAATCACCTCCCCTTCCTCCCAAATGACAGCTGCCGCCCTCAAAGAACTTCGCGCCAACAGATTGTTGCTGAGCATAAATTGTTGAGAGTGACACTCAGTATTTGGCACCGCGAGAAGTTGCAAGATAGTGAACTCGAGAACATGGTCACATATCCATCACCTGACAACTGCCTCAAAAGGTATTACTGTTTTCTCTCAAATCGACCTGGTTTAGGCATATAAGTCGAAACCCTACTTCTGCAGACAACAGCAGTAGAACGGCGATAATCAATTCCTTCAGAATCTACGAATCTTCAATTTAGGAAATGCTGCTCAAAATTTTAAGAGATTACTCGGTAGTGCATGAAGGGTCTCACATTTCTGCACGTGACTGCGTGCTCAGTTCATCTTCAGCATCTAAACCTTGTTTTATAATAACTGCAAAAACATGGTATTAATGTAAATACCAATAAATGAATGATAGGAACCGAAATCATAAACTTTCTAGGGCATATTACTGACGCCCAATGTATTCAATCACTTCGAAATAAACCAAAGGCCACTCTAATTTTCTCACACACAACCATAGACAAGTACTTACGCACACTCAACGGTCTGGTAAGTTTCTATAGACGGTTCACTTCGAATTGCACGTCCCCAATAAGACACTCAACGGATCAACCTTACGAAAATACGAAAATCGTCGATTTGAACGACAATGCAACGAAAGCAATCTACACAGTTTAAGAAGATCATAGTATAATCAACTAAGCTTGCACACTTTGATACGAAAACACCCATTAATAGAGGTATTCAACTCGGTAATCTAATTAATTTAACAACATTGGGTAAACCACATGTGGAAACCCTTGACATTCTTCTCGAGATGGTTGCAAGATACTGAATTGAGGTACAACAATTTTAGCAAGGAACTCTTAGTCACGTATTGTGCTGTATGGCACTTTCAACACCATAGAAGGCCGAGAATTCACTCCGTTTACCAACCACAAACCTCTAATATTCTCTTTCAGCTCATCTTCAGATAAGAACTCTCCCTTAGAGTTTCAACAACTAGACTACATTTCGTAGTTCACTTCAGGTATACAGCACATTTGTGGAGCAGACAATGTAATGGCAGACGCCTTCTCTGGTCTAACTTCCTTGAACGGTTTCCAAGGAATTGGCTCTCTCAAACTCGCCAGGCTTCAAAAAGAAGACACTGATATTCAACACGAGTTATCTTCGACAACCCTGAAACTGCATGTCAAACAGATGTGGACAGGTAAGAAGACTTCATTGTGTGACACATCTACATGTAGGACCGTCCAATTTTGCTGAAACATTATCAGTGCAACATCTTCAATACGTTCCACAAGCCTTCTCATCATAGTGTTCGTGAAACCACTAAGCCCATGACAGGACAATTTTTTGGTCTGTTGTGAGCAAAAACGTCTGAAAGTGGGCACGCTTCTGTGTAGGCTGTCGGAAATCTAAAGCCATTAGACATGACAATTGTCCGTTTGGTTCTTTCATAACACTCGGCGCTCGTTTCGACCGTGTTCGTATGGATTTGGCAGGATCCTCACTAGATATAAATGGATAGTCTTGCCACTTTACATATGTAGACCGTTTCACACGATGGCCGGAAGCAGCACCCACAAAAGGCACCGCTGTTGTAACGGCGGCACGCAACTTCGTTGAGTGATGGATGGCAAGCTTTGACTTCCCTCCAACTATTCCTTAATTTCATTCACAATAAGACGTCTCCCAGGAAGCACGAAGAGGCCTACAGAGTCTCTGAAAAGGCTAAATATATTCCAGCTGACCAGAACGCGACAGAACGTTCTAGAATATCAACCAGACCTGTTGTTATTGAACAATAATATAAATTCATATTCGTGCAAGTAGATATCCCTCGTTTTATGTGTTGAAGAAATCATACTATTGGCTGCAGTATGTCTTTACTCATGTACTGGAACATGAGAGTTTGAGCTCGAAGTTTTACATTTTAAACACACAATGTTTTGAACATTCAGTATGGACTTAAAGGAAATATAATTAATACCAAATTTAGAAAGTGAATAAACATTGGAGCTATAATGTTTAACATTATCACGATATTTTGGGCTAACTCCTAATCAAGCCTAAACTGTTAAATCAGCTTCCTCCTAGAATTGACATTCATAAATATGTAGATTTCTTAAACAAAAACGTGTCATTTTAGCTTCCGAAGACTAGTGGGGAATCACAAACTCGTCCAGTTTTTGACCTTGCTTGTACACTGAATGATGACCACAATTCAATCAATATTCAGGTATAGTCTGCAAATGTCACGTAATTTACTAGCTTGTTATCTTAATTCTATATCCTTTATCTTCCATCCACAAATTATGGCAGATGAATTGAGCGTGTCCTCCATGTTAGATTTAGAGATAATAAAACAATGGCAGGTAGGAAAATGAAACGCGAATACCTAAAGAAGTGCCTCGAGTGGGATACTCAAAACCTTGTCTGCTAAAGGAATTTCGCCTTAAAACAATAGTAATAATATGAGCCTGTCAGAACGTCGATCCTTCACATACCACGACTGGATACATTGTGGTAGACCAGACAGATATGAACGCGAAAAGTATAAACAAAGTTACTAAAGATCAATAGTAAAATTAATATATACAGTTAACTATTACAAATACAATAAAAATTAGGGACGTTACTTAAATTGACCAAACGTTGCGTGTTCTGATTAGGTCCGGTAATGTTAATCCACAATTATAAATGCTTGATGATTCTGAGCAGGTTGGCGAACTCTCTAGTGATATAATCCCACGTAGAATGTGATATATTCCAATTACAGTCTATAAGTAATGACAATATTTGATTTAGACTTCAGCTAACTCAATCACAAACGAAAATAGAACGAGGGATGTGTGAGTAGTAATGTATTTGTTAGCCAGCATGAATATGTCATGCTATGTTGGAATCACAACGGAAAGTGTCTTCAAGGTGATTGACTAAAACAACACGTACAGTCATTTAATGATGAATGTACACACAGTGAAAAATTGACAAAACAAATACAAATAACATTGAAAACTATTTACAAAATAAGCTTGTCAGTCATATCTCCACAACATAAACTCGAGTTAGTGACGACCGCCAGTAGATTTTGCATCCAAACTACATATTTCTATTCTATTCATTCATTCTGATAGTCCATACATAACCTGTGTTATAGATCATGAAATCATTCTCCTTAACAATTGAGTGGTTTGTGAGTGATTGATCAATGTGAAGGATGAGATCAAAGGTTGAACAGATAGTGAAAGTGTGGAGAATGGTAAAGGTATTTGATTTCAGTTCAGATCTTCATGGTGCTAAATAAACCTGATTATCCCACATGTTGTTCCCTGCTTTTTTTCTACTTCACTACAATATTAGACTTATCAATTATGTTTTTTACCCGCTGGTTTACTGTTGTGGATGCGGAGGAATAGACCAATAATTATCATGTTAAGTCCAATGGTGTCCTTGGACTTTAGATGGACATTTCCTATTGGTCGATATCTGTTCACTTGTTGAATATTGTACAAAATGTTGTTTTCTATTTTTATGGTACGATGTGGTATGCTTGATTGGTATATAAACAAAGTATGTTTGAAATATAATGATTCATATCTCCGAGGCTGTGACTTGTCTTCTGGACTCAACTAACTGGGCTAGACAGGGAAGTGGGACCAATCGAGACTCTAGGCCGTCCGTACGTGTTTACGTGTCACTGTAATCGATCGATAAGTACGCTGCTCTCTAATTTTCCAGTCAAGGACACAACAATTAGCACAGGGTAAAAATCGACGGCAACCTAAAGCCATAACATTTACAGAAAATATATTTCAAATATTTTGCACATTTATTCACTAATATTTTCAAGAAAAATTGCAAACATTGCAAAACACTTAAAAGATATCTGGAGGCCCTATTGTTCCACGCACACAATAACTCATAATACGCTTCAATACGTTACTAACTGTAGAATTTGTATGAATTCTTCTCCCAGTCTATCATTAGCGTCCGCTTTATTGGTCTATCATTGATATCTCGTTATGTCGAGTGTCCATTGAGTAAACCACCAACCTTCACTCATCCATTTCCACTCACTCAATTCTCCTAAATTATGCGAACTCATCAAATCTTGTTTATTTATTACGCAACCTATTATAAAGATTTTTTCAAGTTATTTCTAAGGTCAATCATATGACCTGATATAACTAGAAACAAATAAACAATAGTAACAATATAGAATCCTCATAATAACGACAATAATAATATTATTATTATTATTATTATTCAGGATGCAATAGAATAATATTTATTGCATGTAACTGGATCAATTAAATTTATAGTAGTATGAGAGTATTGTATTAATACCCGTATCATTGTATTAGTAGTGTGGAACAGTAAAAGATAATAATTTATTGATGAAAAAGTCTTATACTTAATTTATCCTTAGCTTGTCAATCGGATTCATAGAGAAGCAATGATAATGACTACAAGTTATTAATTTATTTACTTGAGTATGCCTACACTGCAAATACTAACGCACTGTCATATGCAAGCAAACGACTTGATGTAACTTGTTTATCAAGTGTAGATTGGTATACGTTATTTCTGCATCGCCTATTACTTATACGGCAAAAATGAAGAACCAATGCAATTTCTACGACACCAAATAACAACACACAACACTGATACAAGTGAAGATTTATTCACCCCAAAAACACTACGATAACTCTAGTCGAAAATACACTCATTTATATAATGATTTGTACACCCATCTGATTAGTACTTAGGGAAAAGTCACATGTATGGAAACTATTCAGAATCATAAGACATCACATGTTGCATATCATGCTGAACATATGTTACATGCAAACGAAGAATAAATGAATGGTGACTACTGGGAATTATATATGAGTTATCATTACATATATTCTTATTGGACAATTGTTAAGTAACTAGGGTATAGATATATAATTAAATGTTTCAAAAGATGGTTAAGTAATTAATTGAAATATTGTTAGAAAGTACATACCGAAAAGTAAACACATAGACAACAGAAGTAAATGATGTACAAATCGCTATGATGAATAGCAAATAGAAATTCTTTTATTCGATCCATCAATGATACTAAGTTATCTACATATGGATGTAATTTTCTGTGCATTTGTGAATATCATACAGATTTGACTGTGTATATAACAATGTTGAACTTGAGACTACATCAGTGTTTTCTTTCTTGATTACTTCTATACTTAAATGAAAGTATCATTCAATATAAAAATAGTTTTGTCTCACAGTGTAAAGAACTAGGTTATAAAATATTTAAGGGTAAGAAAAACAGGCAATTGACTCTTTAAAAAAACTTATTTTAATGTAATTAAAAAATGTGTGTAGTGTTGCTTCTCAAAATAGGCTGAAACTTTATATTTTACAGAATTCAACCCATCAGTGAACATACGACTGGCAGCATTTTTTAATGAATCAAGTACTAAACGTCTATTCGCTCGAACCTGTTTAGTGTGAGGTTGAGCCAGATATCTGCCTATTGACTTTTCAATGTGTTTATACATAATTTTTGATGCTTTCAGTCGCCTCTCCAAATCATCGTCCTCTCCACCCCAACCCCAATAACTATTCGAATAACCATTAACCTGTATAAAGTGTGAAGTCGATATTTTCAAAACACCACCGATCAATGATTGGTAAGGTAAAACATAATTCCATGAACTCACTCCAACACTCAAATGAATCACACTCTCCATCATCTCTTCATCACAACCATGTGGTATTCTATCATCCAATGGTATTAAGTCGGCATCATGAAATATAACACAGTCGAAATCGAAACGTTTATGTGCTTCAATAAAACCAATGTTCATCAACTGAGCTTTGTTCAAAATACCAGTACCCTGTTGTTCAATAATAAATATTCGATAACACAAATGTTGTCTCTGGAGAACTGGAATCAGAGCGGACAATGTATTATTCAGTTGTTTCCATCTATCTCTACAAACAATGATGATTGCTACACCGGATTGTGGAACATTGTTGCAATTCGTCGTCTCCTCCTTAAACATCCAACCGCCACCAAGTTTAAGATTATTTCTCTATCACAGAATAACATTGCAGTAAAGACCAATAAAAGTTTGAATTCAGTAAATTGTCATTTTAACATAGATCTATTCTGCCGTCTGTTCTTAACTGCCACTTCTCAACTCATTCCCCAGGGGCTTGAGTGTGAGCCACCATGTAAGTGCGATGTCCAACCATAATCCTCAATCGTTTAAACAAAGTATTTAAAGAGGACTTTGAACCTGCGGTTGAGTAGCTGGAGGTCGAACGCTACGATCACTAAAATATCACTCTACAAGGGATTCAAACTCCATACTTATAACCTATTTATTATGAGATTAACCGAAGTTGTTTCTTTGAATGGGTCTGACAGAAACTTTTGTTGGCTCAACCATTAGATCATTTCTTCCTGGGTTGTAGCGCTCTTTTGCCATTTCCAGATTATCATAGAGCCTCAGTGAATAATGGTATTTTATGCTTGCGATCAACATGGAGGGGTAGAAGTTTTTCTATGATGAGAAAGTATCAACTCCGCTTTCATCTTGTGATTGTACAGCTATCATGTTCATAACCGTTATGTGAGAGACGGAAATCAAGTTAATCAGCACCAAATATTGAAACCAGTACAAACAAACAAAATAGGTTCCTACAGGTCAAAAGTTGCAACACGTGAAGTCTTATCAAAAAGATTATAACATGATTTTGAGGTATCGTGGAAGGTATTTAACCTTCTGAGAAGCGCTCCAGTTATTCGCTCCTTTCAATTCATCTCATATTGTATTTCGAAGTATCTTCATTTTTTGTGAATTAGTTCTTGCTAGAAATATGTTTATTGTCCTCATGATCCAAAGATATTTTCAGATGTTTGTGTTAAATAATATGCAATAAATTATTCATGTAAAGTTCAATATAATTAAGGTTCCTTTTGAACATACCTCTTTTGACTGATGAAATACTTAATGAATACCTACTAATCAGCATAGTAAAATATATCACTATGTAGTCTAGCTCAGATCCTATCAGAGAAGCTACTGAGATCTACCTGTGAATTTGAAAGTGATTTCTCTGGTTAGCTTGTCTATAGTGGTTATTTTCTATGGGGTGATGTTGCGAACCCTATCCCCAACTCTTCTTCTTTATCCGGGCTTCAGGTCGGTAGTAAGTCTAAACGGGCTACAAGCATAGTTACTCAATATCTGTTGACTGAATGTCATCAACAACAACCTACTGTGGCGGAGGACAAACCAAATTCCGGATGAGGAGGAAATGAGAAAAAGACGCTGAAGTTGGGTAGAATATACACTGCAAAAACTTGAAATTCTGAAGGCTAATGGATAAGAGGTGGTCCGGTGGACACATTGTGCCGAGAATCGCAGTCAGACATCAAAGGAATGAATCGCACTTGGAAACAACTGCAAAGGAAAATGCAGGACAGAAATGGTTGGCGAACCTCTGTCAGCGACCCATGCTCCAGAAGGGGTAACAGGCGTGAGTAAGTAACTGACGAATTTGAAATGATCGAACGAAAGGTCGTTCAAGTCAAGAATCTTAACTGTCCTACTCACCACTCTCTAAATTACAGTTCCTGTTGTTGGTCACTAGTCAGTTATTCGGTTGAACGTTACCTATGATGATGTTCCATTCACTAAGTGAGTTTTATGTTTGCGATGTTTAAAGAGTTTAGCTGAAGTTCTTGAATCTTTTTTATCACGATATTGAAAAACGAAATCGCTGGTGCGTTTTTCTACCTCTTTGATATTACTTGGATTCACTGATGTGATAGAAGCCTGAAGAGTTCAAACGAACTGGTCTGTTAAACCATGAGATTGAGGTTTTTGTAGAGCTGTGAATAGATGACGGCATCCAATTTGAATAAGTCATTTGTTAAACTCTTTTCCTATGAACTGGGTTCAATTACCAGTTACTAATACATTGGATATACCTTATCTACTAAATATCTTCATGATTGCTCTTTGAGTTAAGTATCCGCTGGGAGTGTTTGTGAGTACTACTCCGGGTAATTTAGAATATGAACCGATCATAAATAAAGTACAATATGAGTTTAAAAATAGGCTACAGTAATCGGCTTGCATACGTTCCTACGATTCAGGTGAGGACTCGAAAAAGGTTTATTGTGCGACAGCTTATGTAAACAAGAACTACATCTATCCGATTTCCGATACAGTGTTCAGTAGTGAAATGATTAGCACTCAACTCTAAATTTAATTCTGGACCACGGTGGGGGATTGTATTCTCACCATCTATACCACAGTTGAAGCATTCCTTTGAGTCTGAGAATATCTTTCTTCACTACTGCTTAACTATCTCGAGATAAAACGTTTTCCGATCTGCTGTAGAACCGCAACTAGCTCCATTGGAGTTACGAATAAATCTAGAATAAAACTGTGATTACAGGAGACTGTAATTAATAGATTTGGGATAAATTAAGAATGGTAAATCATATAATCGTAGTGAGTAGATCAAATGAAAGCTTATGGTAAAAGTAATATATATCTATATATATGCCCTAGTCACTTAACAATTGTGCAATAAGAATATATGTAATGATAACTCATATATAATTCTCAGTAGTCACCATTCATTTATTCTTCGTTTGCATGTAACATATGTTCAGCATGATATGCAACATGTGATTTCTTATGATTCTGAATGGTTTCCATACATGTGACTTTTCCCTAATTACTAATCAGATGGGTGTACAAATGATTATATAAATGAGTGTATTTTCGACTAGAGTTATCGTAGTGTTTTTGGGGTGAATAAATCTTCACTTGTATCAGTGTTGTGTGTTGTTATTTGGTGTCGTAGGAATGACAGTGGTCCCTCGTTTCTCCCGAATAATTAATTTGCAATGAGAATTTTACAATTTACTATGGTACTTTAATCTTAATCTGATTCCAAAGGTTGCTATCCTACAGTACCTTGTAATTTTTTAATGATCCAGACATCCTTAATTCACCTGACACTAGTGTAAATCCAAGAATCGATTACTTAGGTTTATAGAAGTTTGTATTTCACATAATCTACTGAACTATTGAAGTACGTGAACGAATACAACAACAAATAATTAGAAACAGGCAGAAAATAAGTCATCATTCAATAAACAGGTAAACAAATAGAAACCGCACATTCATCAATGCTTGAACGAAATAATTACAGACACATTAAGTAAGACTGATACCAAAGCAACCAAATTATCGAAATTGTTAAACGACACAGGTGGACAAGATGCGGATGTTCCATGGTATAACATGCAAAATCAGATCTCTTTGGTCCTTCCGTCTTGTTAGTCTTTTGATTCAGTTATTTTCAGATTGGTTGTTTAATTGTTTGACTTATTCATTATTCTATATGTAAAACGGTAAATTTGTTAAACTAGAAAATTCAGGTTCATCTGCAACAGGCACATAAACCAACGCTACCCACTGACGGATTTGTAATTCGGAATTTCCACTTGTCATATAACGTTCTTTACGGTTTGGTGATCGCTGTTTACTCCACTATATACATTAGGCCAGAAGAATCCAGCAACCTTGTATTGTATTTGGACAAACTTGTCAGTGTTTGTAAAAACTGGATGTTCCTTCGGTTTGTTGCAGAACTGAATCTATGAATTGGTACTGTCGGCTCTCTTCTCTGCTAGCCCCAGTTACTCTAAAAAAAATCTTGTAGACATTTATTAGGAGACATCAAAAAGTGTTATTTACACAGAAGTTTGTTTATTCAGTGATATATCGATTAAAATCATGATTATTAGTTACAAAAATTATCAACAGACTCTTCACTTGAACAAAAAGTCTCAGTCAATTTATAAACACAAGCAAAAATGAACTAGAAACATAAATAGGAAACTTATTTTCAGTGAGTTAATACGAAGAAAAATGCACTGAAAATTAATTAAAATTAAGTCATACCAAATGATATAATACGAAAATTAATTAACAAAAATCACCATATACTAAAATGTTTATTTCAAGATTGGTTTTCGCATAATACGTCATATTTAGGGATTTGACATCTCAAACATATTTGTCAGGAAATTCTCTCTAATCACAGTCGTCCTGAATTTAAATGGTAAAGTTGGCGTAGCCATTAGATTAAATTTAGGTAAGGACACCTGATGCTGATGTCGTACGCGCGAAATTGTTCACATCATCTAAATTGTAGCTGGAAATCACGTTGGCATTGCATCTGGTAGAGACGCTGTAGCTGCGAATTGATGTGTTGCTTTTGTTGATTTAGCTGATCATATTTTTATCATTGTGATTACGAATTTTTCATATGCCTTAGCTTTACCTGGAACAAAATAGCATTCCGTTGGTTTCTTTGTAGTAACTTCGTACTTCATATGATAGCATGACCTACACTTAGTTGTACGCTGTTTCATACGCTTTCAAAGTTGATTGTCAATCACCTTCTCCATTCTGAAGGCATGGCCATTCATCATTAAAAAATCAACACCCTTGTTAAAGTTCATGTGGACTTTGAAGATGACCTAGCTCTTCTATCCCATGCCCACCAACAAATGCAGATGAAGACAAGTGGTGTAGCAACAGCCTCTGCATCAGTAGACCTCAACATACACAAGGGAAAAAGCGCCATCCTCAAATACACCACTGAGAACATAAACTTAATCACACTTAATGCAAAAGCTCTGGAAGAGGTGTAAAGTTTCACGTACCTGGGGAGCATCATCGATGGACGTGGAGGATCTAATGCAGGCGTAAATGCGGGGATTGGCAAAGCAAGGACAGCATCTCTACAGTTGAACAACATGGAACTCAAAACAACTGTCTGTGAGCCAACATCAAAGTCATAATCTTTATTACGAACGTCAAGACAGTTCTAATGTACGGAACAGAAACAATTGTCTACGTAACACACTCAATGTCCATTGGTCGGATAACATCACCAACAGACTACTATGGGAGAGGACAAACCAAGTTCCAGCTGATGTGGAAATAAGGAAAAGTTGATGGAAGTG